ATTATGCAATCAGTGTCCCACATATTAAATAATTTGGTTAACTAGATACTAGCAGGTTTCTGACAACTTTTATGCTGTTGTGGAGTTGGAAAATATGATGTATGATGGGACAATCAGAAAGACTGTCTTTAAACACCCTGTGTGATCCATGTTCCACATTTATTTTACATATTCCACCTATCTCCTCCCAAAAAATTTAGAGGAATTTTGCAGTAAAGCTCTCTCTCTCTTTAACACACACACAAGCACACACCCACCCCCTCCCCACAATGTAATTAACCTGTGTCTCTGGCCCTCCTCCCTGTACCACTACTCTGAGATTATATGGTGAAGACCTTTAAATATTATGAGGGTATACTCATGTAGTTTATAGTGATTGTATTATAAACATTTACTGAGCACATATAAAGTAGGAGGATGTGGTATGTGCTCTTACACATTTATTCATCCAGTCACGGAGTGCCTCTTGGATACTAGGTATATGATTTTGTTCGGTCATTACAATTCTTTTGGCTAAGAGTTATTATCTTGATGTTATATATGAGAAAAAAGATGCCCAGAAAAGAATTTCAAAAGAACCCAAATCACAAAAAACAGCCAGATTCAGTGCTTGGTCTTCTGCATCCTGTATCCTTTCTCCTAGAGCCCTATAGCAGAGGTCTCTTCCTATAGCATTTGTTTTCTTTTCTTCAGAGTTCTGTGGCTTTCAAACAGACAGACTTGAGCTCCTGTGTCTTGGTTATCTCTATCTAGAAATCCCATATGTCGTTAAAGTTTACTAAAACATTGTTGGCTAAAAGAAACTATAACTGACTCCATCATACAACCCTAATTCTGTCTTCCATTGAAATGATGGATTTAGTGGAACGCTATCAACTCATTCTAGCTGGACAGAGTTTTGGGGCAAATTGCTGTGTCAGTTTAAGCTGATGAGAGAACCAAGAGCAGAGAGCTGACATATCTTATTGTTAGTGCCACACTCTACCCACAAGGGCAAAAAATTCTCAATTAGAAGTCTGTGAGTGAGTTTCTTGGATTTATTGGCTCTCTATAAGGTAAAGCTGCTGATGGAAGGCAGGAAGGCATCACTCTGGGGATCAAAACTAAAGCCATATTCAATGTTTAAATGATTATGCTCTCCAAATTACCAACCACTTACAGAGGAGAAGGGCATTAGCCACTCACTACTGTGGGGGACTGGAATTGGCCACCCCAAGATATGTCTCTTTGGCATGAGGATTATTTTGGGTTGGTTACTTTTAAAAACTGCAGATAGGAAAGAAAGTCTGAAAAGTAGAATTTACTTACCCTCTGTTAAGAGATATTTACATTTGTAAAGGAAATCTCCATCTGTAAATGTGTCTCCCTCTCTGTACTGGGAAGAAAGGCAGATGACCTTATCTCTAGAAACTCTCATCAATGTGGAAGGCAAGGACTCAAATCTGCATCATAACCTTAATCTTGTTCACTGTACGTTTTTGGTAACCACGCATGATCGACTCCCACTACCCCCAACATCCTCCTTTGTCTTTAGCTGAGGGTCATATTTAAGGGGAGAGCTTCCACCATTTGGGTGAGTTGCTCAATTTTCCTGAGCTTCTCCCATGTATACATGTTATAAAGCTTTGTTTAATTTTCTCCTACTCTGTTTCATGTGAATTTAATTTGTTTTCTGGCCAGAAGGACCCAGAGTTGGTAGAGGAAATGTCTTCCTCCCCTACACTACCATACCCACAACACCTATTCTGGTCCTGAGAGTTAGAGTGGCATGAGCTTGTCAAATGCAAGGGTACACAGCTATTATAAGATCAAGATGCTCAGAAAAAGGAGCCACGTGTGGGCCAGAGAACACATCAGCTCCTTGTAGATGCCAGTGCTTTTTTCCTTATCGTATGAGATTTTTCTTTATACCTTTTTGTTTCTTCCTGTGTGGCTTGTGTGGAAAACTTGGCCTAGTTCAGTCTGCCATTTGAGAGAACCCCTCTGCTACAGAAAAATTCTAAGGATGCTTGCCTAGAAAAGTTCTGCTTTGGACAAGTGGAAATTCTCCTGTACTTTGATAAAGTTGCCCTTGGCTTTGTAGGGGAGGAAGAACTATTCCTCTATCCTCTATGTTCTTCTGGCTTATCTAAGGATTAAATTGACATAAGACAGAATAACAGGAGAAAAATCAAACAAAGCTTAATAACATGTATACATGGGAGAAAGGAAATCTAAGTAACTTACCAAAATGGCCAAAGCCACCACCTTAAACAACATCTTCAGCTAAAGACAAAGGAGGATGTTGGGGGTAGTGGTTTGGGATTTCAAAGGGGAGGAAGGCAATTCACATGGAGATGAAAAAGCACATGTTTGGTAAGCAAATGTTTGCTGGGCCATCTATAGACAACGTGACCTGAGAGATAACGATATTAGACCTGAAGTGAGTTTGCTAACCCGTTGTGCAGCAAGCCAATTTCTGGCACCGGGGGTAGTGGAAGAAAATAGAAATTTTATTTTTGCACAGTGCTGAGCAAGGAGAGAGGGCAGCTAACGCTGAAATCCAAAACTCCCCAAAAAGCTAAAAGGAAGGGTTTTTATTTGGGGTTTTAGGGAGGGGAGGGGGAGCATATGGCCTTGCTGGTTGGAGCTTCCCCACCAGCTTGTCTTTGGTCTTGAGACTACTTGCAGAGAGGAGGGAACCCATGACCTTGCTGGTCAGCAGCTTTCCCACTAGCCTGTATCTCTTTGTGGGGAGGAGATAATGAATCCAGGTTCTTGTCCTTGGCAGTGTCTGTCTCTATGGAGGATAGTGGATTCTGGAGCCAGGAAGTCAGGGAGTAAGCAGGGAATGAGTGTTTTGGTTTTAACCCCATAGATGCTGGGTTTAATGAAGGGAAACTGATATCAGGGTCAGTGTCAATAACTTTGATAAAAATGGGCCTAGCAAGGTTCCTCCCAGTCTACCACACCCCAAGTTATCTATGACGATAGTTCCTTCCTTGGACAGGTCTTCTATCTTAAATTCTTTTAGGCATTTAGGGGAAAGGTCAAAGTTGCTTTCCGAGTCTTTTGTTCTTAAAAATAATCAAATCAAAGAGACAGATTTTGAGGAAGCCACAGCTTCATCTCTCTCTCTTTCTCTCTTTCTCTCTCTCTCCATATTATATTAATTGCTAAGATTAAGATGTAAAACTTAGAATAAAGGGCCAAGGTAGGAGCAATTAAAATCGTTGTTTCTGTACTTCTTTCAGCCCATGTGCTAAGGTCAGAAGTTTAGAGACAAGTGCTCTAGTGTTTAAAGAAAGTGTGAATTTTCTTGGAAGCATCCCTTCTGGATCCCTCCCTTTGCACCTGTGGCAGCTTAAACATGTGGAAAAGAATCTCTGGATTTGAGTCACTTCTGCCTTCTTTCCACTACTGAGATGGGAATATTAATAATGACTATTAAACTGCCTATGTATGGAGAGGATTGAGTAGCTGGTGATGTTGTATAACAAGTGTTGAGTTTAGGCTGACCATCTAGAAGGAAGGCTTTGTCTGTATTAAAGATAGGGAGGGTCTCCTGGGAAGTCAGGAACTCAATGTGAGAAATGAACCAGTCTAAGACACAGCCACTCTCTGGCATCCATTTGGAAGTTAATTGAGAAAAGCTTTAGAAGCCTCTGGGACAAACCAATGGAGAATTAATTTTATGTCCTTTAGAAACAATTGGTTTTCCAGGAGGCCACAGCATTAATGCCTAGCTGTTGGAACTGCATGGTGGGGTTCTCTTTCGATTGGTGACATTAGCTATTGGACCTTGCTGGCAACAAAGCAGCAAAGTCAAATTAGGATCAGCAGCATTAATGGAGGAAGAATCAAGACCAGAGGCTAGAATGTCAATCGAGTAGAAAAATAAAATCTATAACAAGTTTAATTAAAATAATAAAATCTGCTATACATTTTAAAAGACACAGCAGCAGCTAACTGGTCTTCTGGAGAGGATGTAGGAATTTCATTGTGGGCCCTCTGGGACCAATGAGTTAAAGCTCACAATGAGTGCCATTGTCGCTCACCCATTATCACAAGAGGGAAGCATCCCTGATACGGGCATAGAGGATCCTGGGAGGGGGCCGAAAGGATTGATTGGGCTAAAAATAGAAGCAAAGAAGAGAACTAAGAATGGCTTCAGGCTAACAACTTTGTGACTAAAAATAGAGCCATTGATTTTCTCAGTGGCTTGAATCACTCGAAAAAGTATGGCTTACACATATAGGCACAAAATGAGCTCTTGCTTAATATGGGCTGAAAACGGAAGGTCAGGCAAGTGGTTTCCATGCATAAAAACTGTATTCCAAACAATCTATTTGATATTTTATGCTAATATACAAATAGCATCTGTGGATTGTTTTTTTATTCAATTGAAATAATTTGAGATAAGTAATTAAGAGGTTTAATTTGATATTAGAAGTTGTAGAAGATTCTTTCAACCTTGTGGTTTTGAGTTTAAGAACAAAGAGCATACGATCCTAAGCATCTAAACCACAGAAGATGAAGAGAGATCATGAATTGGCTGAGGAGAAATGGCAGCCATAAAACATTTGGAGCTGTCAGAAAGTCCCATAGTCTGTTTCCAGATGTGCCTCTTACTGAGTGTTTGACCTGCACCCAGTTGCTTAAAGTCTCTAAGCCCAGGCTTTTATCCTTCTAAGTGGGAGTTATTTCTATTCCATAGGATTGTTGGGAAGAATACTTGAGATAATGTATACAAAGTGCTCAGCACAGAACCAAGCACATAATAAATGCTCCTTAAAAGTCAGCTGCTATGGCAAAGGCTACTAGTTGCCAGTCCAATATACATGCTTCCCTTGTTTTGTGCCATCAGAATCACAGTTTTGTTGGGAGTTGCATTATACCCACTAAAAACTATGTTTTCCAAACCTATTCTTCAGACAAAGGTGAACATTTGAAACAGTTATGGCCAATGGGATGCTATCAAACTTGTGAGTTTAGTATCAAGAAAACCATTTTGTCTTTACCTTCTTCCTGCTTGAAATGACAGCCATGTTGCCTGAACATTAGCAGCCATCAGGTGACCACGAAGCACCCTGAAAGATGAAAGTCATGTGCTAAATACGATAAAGCAGAAATATTGAAGGACTTTAGGTCCCTGAAGATAGCATGCAACTGTCATAACAATCCTCGATTGCCCATCTGTGATAGTTAATTTTTTGTGTCAACTTGGTTAGTCCATAGTACCTAGATATCTGGTCAAATATTATTCTAGGTGTTTCTGTGAATGTATTTGCTCACTGTTGAGCACAATTCTTTGCTGTACATCAACTATTTTTTGCTAATTGTTGTAATGTTATTATGATCACTATTATGTGTCAAAATGCACAATTTCTTCCCATGCTTAAATTGGGTTAGGGATAAATTCTTTTCAAATTTTGGATTGGCCACAGAAGAAAGAGGTAGAAACATAAAAAATAGCAAAAGAATGAAGTCCTACATTTAATTTCCAAAAAGCACCTATTATCACTAAACTTTAGTTTGAATCACTGTTACACTGAAGTTACGGCCTTAAGATACCATGGTCACACTCGTGTGGAAAAGGGACCAGGCTCTGAGAATGAGACACATTTCACTGAGCAGCCAACTAACTCTTCTGCAATTAAGCCTATATGAGCAACAGTGGAGGAAAACTAGGATGTTCACAGAGTTCTTTGCACTCTGTGTCTCTCCAACAAAGCTCAAGTGCAGTGCTGCTGAGCACGTTGCATATTCTGGTAATGTAATTAATACAACATCAAAGAATGCCATCCGAACATTTTTAAGCCTCAGGTTTCTTTTTTAGACTGTAATTTTACAAATTTGCAGAGTAGAGATGATATTTAAAAAATGCCTTTTTCTGGTAGTATCTCTGTTGAAAAGCTCTGCCCGTCTGACTTCCTCTATCTCCTTTATGATCCCTGAAGAATCCCTGTAGGATCCCTTAGAGGTCTGCATAGTCAAGATAAAAACAATTTCTGATCTATAGATTCCATTGAAGACCTATGCCCTCGTTCAGTCTCTGAGCATTGCAAAGATTAGACTCATGCCCTTCTCTCCTGATCCCAGTTCAATTTCATCTCTACCATGTGCATCATCCTATTTATTATTGTCTCTAGATTCTATGCACAAGTTGTACCATAGCTTCTAAAGCTTTTCTCTTTTTCTCTTTTTGTCACCTTTATATATTCATTCGTTCATCCGTTTTTAATAACAGCACAATGCTTGGCCACATGAACTGATTCTCATTATACAAGTCATTTAAAATAATACTTGTAGAAAATGTCTGCTTATTGCTTTGTGGTAAAAATTAAGCATAGAAACAAAATCTAGGAATGTATTGTGAACTACAATGAAGGACAAGTTGACCAGAAATTTGACACAATGGATACTAGCGACCTGTTTTGACCCTTTCAGTCAATTTTATCCTTTTGCTTTGAAAGATATTGTGAAACGTGGCTCATTTGAAATGTTATGATGTTTGGGTTGTTTTTTTTAGTATATTGTATTTGAAGAACATCTTAAAGGGTAGGTTTTATGATTGAATATTTTAATGACCATATCAAAATACCTGGCCTGTTATCATACAGCATTGCATAGATATTATCCTTGAATTTGCAAGAACATTCATATCATCACGTTGCTTTGTGATAACATATGAAATAAACTATGAGGATACTAAAATGATATTCACATCAATATGTCCACCCAGACAGATTTCTTATACAAAATACTCCCTGTACTTAATTTTAAGGTATATTGCTAAATCTTATTCTTAGAATATCCTAAAACACAAGAACATAAAGTTCCCTGGTAAATTTAATTAAGAAAGTAGAAGGAGTTCTTTTCGGTTTGAATGTGAAGGCAAAAATTCAGTTTTCTGCTAGCTCATCTTGGAAGTCATTGAAAAAATAGCAAATAAAAAATCAATTTTCAGTGAAATAAAGAGACAGCTGGGAAGACAGACATTTAAACAGATGGAGTGGCTGCCAGGAAAGATATACATGAAGCTGGGCCACAGGAAAAGCGAAGCTAATACATGAGCAAAGAAGACTCAGTTGTGATGGATCCCGAGCAAAGACGAGGAAGCACAGCTTTCAGAAGTTGAGAAGCACATGCTTATTTGCCAAAACCCTAGGTAACCATTGAAGTGGCTGGTTCTAAGAAACAACAGAGGTAGAAGTAAACGAGGATTCATGAAAAACAAACAAAAAAGCTCCTTTTACAGAATGTGTACTGTCTCCGTGACAGTAAATGAGAATGGAGTTTTTGCATTATGGTTTTTCACCATGAGCTGTTTATCTCATTTAAGTAGGAAGAAGAAAAGCATGATTAAACCCAGACAAAAAAGTAGATTTAAGAAAACAAACAAACAATATTAAAACTCCGATGAGCTTGGATGTATTCAGGCAACTCCCAAAATAAATGATTTGCAAGTAGCTGATGGAGGTGTGGGGGCATGCAGGAGCCACCTCTTTCAGTGACCTGTAATGAAAAAGGAATCCACACAGATTCTATGTAAATATGCCACATAAGAAAGAGAGGGAGCGAAAAATGACAGATTGGGTGTTTGCAACACACTGTCTTGCCACAAAGATGAGAACAATACCCAAAGATATTTTCAAACAAAAAGCAGAAATGCAACAATTCTCTAAAGAGAGAGCAAGACAACCAGAGGAAATGAAAGTTAAGCTAACAAAATTAAAGAAAAAATGTGGGCGGATGGTCAGAAGTTTGTATAGAAGCACAGGTTTCCTTGTATATGCATAAAATACTTGGAAAAGATATGCAAGGAATGACTAATGCTAATTATTTCCTGGAGGTGAACGCAGAAGCCGTACAGGGATTAGACGGATACACATCACAGCATGATATACACAATCCTTACACTTTTTTAGTTGTGAACTATATCAATATAATACTAATCAAAACCTAAATAATTTTTTAAATATCATAAGCAGTTAGTAGGCAAGTGGCCGATAAGAAATTCCTGGTGACTTTAGGCCAAAGCATCTAAAACACCTTTATCTTGCTTACAACTTTTAAGAGCTCCTTCTTTTCCTCAAGTTGAAGTTTGAAATCGTGGAATGTGTGGGCTTCAGTGTTGAACCTTGAAGAATTCTCAGTGTCAGGGCCCTTGTCCCGGGTGAGGCTAATTACTCCTTTTCTGCATCTTCTCTCTGCCTGTACTGATAGCTCCACTCTGATTTCCACTTCTACATTCTCTCTAGTTCCAGCAGCCTCAGGCTACATAGGATCTTCATTTAATTATTTTTTTTCGTTTTCCTATATCTCTTTCACTGTCTTTGCCAGAGTCAATTCAAAAGGACCATATCATAACAGTGGTCACCTGTCGTTTTTCTCCCTCAGATGAGACGATTGAGCCTGGAAAGTTGCAATATCTTGTCCCAAGATCAAAAAGAGGGGGAAAAAAGAGCAAACTAGATATCTTGAATTTCACCCTCAATGCCCCATATACCACCTCTTGCATCTTTTGTTTTAAATAAGAGCTAGTGTTCTCATGGGAAGAATTGTTATAAAGATAAAACTTTAATTCTATTAACACGGAGACCATTAAAGTCAACTTCATTAACACCATCAAAACATGTTTCTGTTTCTTTATCACTCACGAGACATATCTTTTCTGCTATGTATTAAACATTATTTTAAAGTTTCAAACGTTAATTTTTCCTTTTGGAGAATTTAGAAAACGTCTTCACTCACCCTTCACTCAGGCTTTTTTCCACCTCAGAAAGCAATTTGATAAAAACCACATGCCTGCATGTTGATTTTATATCCTGAAACGTTGCTGAATTCATTTATTCATTCTAACAGTTTTTTGGCAAAGTCTTTGTTTCCTTTCTGTGTAAAGATCATGTCATCTGCAAACAGAGTCCATTTTACTCCTTCCTTTCCAATTTGGATGTCTTTTGTTTATGTATTTATGTTTTTGCCTAATTTCTCTGGCTGGGACTTCCGGTACTATGTTGAATAGAAGTGGTGAGAGTGGACATCCTGTCTTGTTCTTGATCTTACAGGAAAAGCTTTCAACATTTCACCATTAAGTATGATGTTAACTGTGGGCTTGTCTTATATGGCTTTTATTATATATTGAACTACATTTCTTCTATATCTAATTTGTCGAGCGTTTTTATCATAAACGAGTGTGGAATTTTGTCAATTGTTTTCTCCGCAATTTAGATGATCCTATGATTTTCCTCCTTCATTCTGCTAATGTGGTGTACCACAGTTATTGATGTTCATGTGTTGAAACATTCTTGCATCCTGGGGATTAAACCCTACTTGAACGTGTTGTATGATCCTTTTAATGTGCTGTTGAATTCAGTTTACTAGAATTTTGTTGAAGATTTTTGCATCTATGCTCATCAGAGATATTGGCCTATAATTTTCTTGTCTTATACTGTCTTTATCTGGCTTATGTATCAGAGTAATGCCGGCCTCACAAAATAACTTTAGAAGTGCCTCCTCTTCTTCAAACTTTGAAAAAGTCTGAGAAGGATTGGCATTCATTCTCCTTTAAATGTTTGGTAGATTTCACCAGTGAAGCCATCTGGTCATGAACTTTTTCTGATTGGGAGATTTTTGACTATTGATTCAATTTTCCTATTAGTTAAAAGTCTGTTGAAGTTTTCTGTTTCTTCTTGATTCAGTTTTGGCAGGTTGTATGTTTCTAGAAATGTATTCATTTCATCTAGGTTGTCCAGTTTGTTGATGTTCACAGCATTCTCTTATGATTCTTTCTACTTCTGTGGCACCATTTGAAAGTCTCTTCTTTCATTTCTAATTTTATTTATTTATCTCTCTCTTTTTTTCTTAGTCTACCTAAAGACTCACCATTTTGTTGTTCTTTTCACAAACCCAACTCTTACATTTTTGATCTTTTCTATTGCTTTGTTAGTCTCTATTTTATTTACTTAAGCTTGGATCTTTGTTATTTCCTTACTTCTGCTAACTTTGGGCGTGGTTTGTTCTTTAATTTCTAGTTCTTTGAGGTATAAAGATAGGTTGATTATTTAAGATTTTTTTTCTCTCTTAA